AGGTTATGGTGAAGTTGTTAACCAACATATTTAGCATATGTAACACTTGTATAAGTGCTTCCGTTGGGAGCAATTTGTTGATAATGTAGTAAATTGCACAGCAAAGCAACAAGGCGCGGGTTTGTTTTATAAACGTTAGCATGGGTGCCACAACACAACCATTTTGACTAACATGCAAATATACCGTTAAAAATAGTTGTATAAACGTTTATGCAACAGTTAAAAATTTGCCCTATAAGGTGTTGTATAACTATGCTATAAGAATATTTTAAACACCTCATTTTAGAGCAAATATGTTGCAGAAAGCAAATTTGCATTCCACGCAACATTAAGCCAGCATTTTGGTGTTCAAGCAAGAGAGCTTTTATGGCTGAACGGTTCTTTTACCAGAAGCTTATACCACTACTTTGCTAGTTGGGAAGATACTCCTAAATACATATTCAACTTAGTATTTTAGAAACGTAGGCAAGTATTTCTTTCCTCAGGCCAGCTGCAGATTTAACTCGATGCAGAAATCGTAGGCAGGAAAAGCACTTATGCCCTTAAGTAGCACTTTACGCATCCGCTACGTAAAAGCATCGGTAGTATTCGGTCTATAAATATCAATGAAACCGATAGAACGTAACAGCGGCAATGCAAAGCAGCAACAGCAGCAGGAATTGCAGTAACGGGGTAACAATGAATAGAAAGCCGGAAACAGATTTGCAATTGAAATCGCCCTGGTAGCCATTCATTTGTTTCAGAAACTTCCGAATCCATGGTCAATCTTCAAGCTTTGTTGCTTGCAGTCAACCGCGCAAAGGTATTGTTTGCCCAAAGTCGATTCAAGCTGAACGATACTGACAGCTGTGCCCCTCTATAGCTGCAAATTAGCAAGAAGATAAAACAGGTTGTTAGGAAAGCTCTTGCGGTTTTTTACCTTTGAATTCAAACGTGCATATCTCAGCTTTAACGAAACTTTATTAATCAAAATAAAAACCGTTAGAATCAGTACGCTTTTGCCGATGAGAAACAACTTTATTTATGCCGCTAACGTAGAAATCCGGAGTTCTGGAGGCGATGGACTCATTGAAGGTATTTTTGGCATCGTCATGGTTATTGAAGCATTTCTTGCGAAGGAATTGTTCGAGGTGGATGAGGCAGAGTCCCGTAGCCCTGTTCGCTCAGCTTTTGCAGAATTGGCCCCTTCATATTGACCAATATAGGGAAATACGTCGGAGGTTCTGATGCATTTCGTCGATTCGCAGGCATGAGTTTTCGGCTGTTCTAGCAGAGAATCCACTTTTCATCACATGTCTCAATCCGGTCGAGAAATGGGTCGTTTTTGTTGCGTAGAAGAAGGACAGACGCCATCTCAAAACCACGATTTTTCTGAACTTCGGTCAATTTGTGCGGATTTCATTTATTTTTTACTTTCCGATCTATTTCAAGTGGTCGAAAATGGTCGCAATAAACACATCAAGCTCCTCCGCAAGCTCTCGAACAGTTGTGGGCGGGTTTGCTTCCACCAGGGACAGTCGTCATCGACATCATGTGGCCGACCACTGCGCACTTCATCCTCAAGGCTGTCGTCACCACTGCGAAATTTCTTGAAACACCGGTACTTTCGTTAGGGGTTCCTTGGCCAAATGCATCTTGACGTCTCGGCAGCTCTTCGACCTATCTTGAACTGGAATAAGAAAGTTGTGCGAATTTGCCGCGAAGTCCTAAATACTTCTACGCTCTACATAGAGCGAAAAATGCGCTTGAAAATGATGTTGTCAAAGTACTATAAATAAATTTTAGTGTAAAGTACATCATTCAAAATATAAATAACAACAGCAACAACGCAAGAACTTTCCTAACAACCTAATAACTATTAAAATGAAGACACGTAATGTTGGTGAGCAGGCAATGCCTGCAAACTAGGTCACTTTTGACCCTTTTTTATTCACCTTGATATCCAATTTACAAAAAGGTTAGCAGTAAACGAAAAACCAGACGTACAAGCTTCCATAAACCTTGTATCAAATAAAAAAGGTGCTAAGAAGGGGATCAGTGAACGTTAGAATGTACTGGCGCTCTTGCAAAAAATTTAAAATGTTTGTTGTTATACAAGGTGTAACTGAAAGGTGGATTTTGCACTAAACCTCTTAACACCGTGTGGATTACTGAATAATGTGACTTCGTATGATAAGTTCAAGCCTCAACTTTCTTCAACAGTTCTTTTCTTTATTCATGTCAATATCTCAATCGTTGAAGAATATATGCTGTTTTGAAGAAAATCATGCGAATCATAGCCATAAACAAGAAATGGTTTCAAGCAGGCTTTGCCGGGTAAGAAATTGTTTCAAGTAAGCTGTGTGTGTTAGCATTTTTATGGCATGTTAAAAAGATTCTTGTCAAGCAATACTCAGCAAAAATGACACCGGAACAAGTAGCGCAAGCTGTAGGTTTACAAGATGTTGGTGGTCCTATTCGGTATATCGCAGAAAGGCTTGCCGTTTCACGCAGTACCTTATTCGATGCGATACAAAGACTTACAGAAACTGGTTCTTACTCAAGAAGACCTGGGCAGGGGAGACGGAAACCAACAAACGCAGTTGAAGATCGGTTTCTGAGACTTCGAGCTCTTCGAGAAAGAACAGTTCCTGCTACAGCTTCGACTCGAAGACTGCATGGTACCATAGTTTCTGATACCGTACGCCGAAGGTTGAGAAAAGGAAACATATCATCTTGTGTACCTGCTGCAGGTTCTCTATTGAATGTAGGTCATCGAAGGCAGCACTTGGTATTTTCTCGAACAAATGCAGATTGGGATATGGACGACTGGAAAAACGTTCTTTTCACACACGAGTCTCATTTTGCGAGTTATTCACCTCATGATCGCCAAAGACTGTGAAGAAGGTGTGGAGAATGCTATGCTCATAGTTATTTTGTTCCTAGAGTGCAACATTAGAGAGTGTTTGGAAGAACAAGTGGTTCCTCATATGCCCTTTACTGGAGAAAATTTTCTCCTAATGCAAAATAATGCTGGGCCACATATAGTATGGCCAGAATGACTAGGCAATACCTCAATGATGTTGGAATTCAAGTACTAGACTAGCCGCCAAGGAGTTCAGATCTCAACCCCATGTGGGGTACATTAAAAAGAAAACTTAGGCAGAATTTTGGAGAATTTCAAACTGTGGCTGCGTTGGAATGAGAGCTGTTATTCAAGACCGGCGAGGAAATACGCGCTTTTGGTAACAATGACGTTACTGTAATTTAAGTTAAGTTGTTTATGGCTATGATTCGCATGATTTTCTTCAAAACAGCATATATTCTTCAATAATTGAGATATTGTCATGAATCAAAAAGAAACTGTTGAGAAAAGTTGAGGCTTAAAATTCTCATACGAAGACACATTATTCAGTAATCCATTGTTTCCACAGATTTTAAATTTTTTTCAAGGTCGGTAGTCGATAATGATGACAGTAAAATTACCTACAACCTGACGAAAAAATTCACGAAATTGATGGTTAAAAGGTTATTTCAAATTAAATTTGAACAAAATTTTGTTTTTCAGGTTAATTCTGCGTGGCAGTGTAGTTGCAGAGATACGAAATGTCGAAGCTGAGTATTTTCCTCGGTAGTTTGCCCAATATCTCACATCTGAGAATAACACCCTATATACAGAATGTTATATAAAATCGCTTCGATTGAAAGAGCCAATACAAATCTGCAATAAAATGTAAAAAGCTGATTGTTTTGTCACCACGTAGTTATAAATCACGCTGTTAGAGATAAACATACTTTACAAGTATAGAATACTATTGGCCACAATTTTTGTAATTAACTTTCTTAGATAGCATGCGTAATACTTTACTTAACGACCCAGTCAGTTCTGAAAACTCACCCTGTACACACGAGCACAACATCGATGGCTCTGAATGTAACTTTCGAGGCCAGGATTCGAACCCGCGAGTCTTCGAACCATCACATGAGATACGGCTTCTAAGCTACTTATGATTATGCACAACATCAGCAGTGCTTCATATAACTTTGGAAGTGAGTGCTGAGTGTATTTTGAGTACAAGTCAATCTGGCAACGTCGCCTTTTCCCGATTGCACAACGCGGCATCACGTCAATAAGCCCAGAACACTTACCAAGACCGGTACGCTTGTCGGTGATCAGAGACAGTAGGAGTGATGCGTATCGAAAGCATCTATCATTCTGTTTTAAGAGAAAAAGGTACGGGGAGATCTATGTGGTGTATGTCTGTTAGATGCATGAAACTACCGAGATTGAAATCGTGTAAAAGATGCTGCAATTAAAAAAAGGGAGATAACCCTTCCCTACCCGTTTACAACCCCCACCCGCAAATTTTCTATCCCCTTCAAAAATGATCAAGATGCGAAATTTGAGAGATTTTTATCTTTTTTTCGTTTTTCTCCGCCGCTGCTGTACCGATTTTGTTCAGTTTCATCAAAGGGCCGGTATTATAAAGCTGCTCTTGACCGAAGGTTGTTCAACCACCGGTTGAAATTCAACCGCCGGCTGAGAGCTGGTCGGTATTATAAAGCAACTTACAACCATAAGTTGGCTAACCGAGACTTGACGCTCGTTAAGGTCTGTTGGCTACACTGACATTTTGATTTGACCCAATGAAATGCGAGTTATTTGGCGGAAGAAACAAACGTCATTTGCCAGGAATGTCAATTCTCTATTTTCCTCCGCTATTTATCGTTTTATTTGTGAATTAAAGTTATTTAATATGTCTACGAGAAGCAAAAAAATAATATATTCAGAAGCTGATTGTCATACGCTTGTGGATATAATTATTTCTCATAAGAATATTATCGAATGTAAGAAAACAGATGCCACAACTTGGAAAGAGAAGGTGAGTGATTATTTCTATAAATTCTTAGTAAAAAATCTACATGTGGGGTATATTTTAGATAACTGCATGGGCAAAAATAGCAGATATTTATAATGCCACTACTATGGAGCCAAGAACAGCTGAACAGTTACGTTGCAAATACGATAACCTAAAAAAAGAAGTGCGCAAGCTCGAGGCTCACAAAAGACAAGCGTTATATCAGACTGGTGGTGGTTGTGAGCGAACCTGATATAAAAGGTTCACTTAAATTATTGTATGCTAAAATTAATAGTATAATTAGCTTCTCAGTCCAGGGTTTAGAGCCTAGTAATGGTGATAGCGATTTGGTGATGGATGTAGTAGAGAAGGGACAGCCTAGTATGTATAATAATTTAATATTCTATAATGATTTCAGCATATGCAAAATTATATTTCAGATACATTGCAGCAAGCTTTAGAAGAAGATATTCTATTTGATAACCTGCCAAAAGAGACAGTTGCTGAACAAAAAAATGGTATACATTGTCTTATGTTTAATAATATACTCCCTATATTTATATTTTAGATATTTTTAAGAATAGTGAATCTGAAGTAAAAGAAAACGAAATGCTGACAGAAACAAAGAAAGATCCTGAAATTAAGAAAGGTAGTACAAATCAATGGTCTGTACATTTTCCATTATTATATGAGTATATATATTTCAGACTGGTCAGATTACACTCCTAAAATGTTACGAAGCAAAAGACATAGAGTATTACAAGTGAAGAGAAAGGCAACTGATCACCAAAGTGATGATGATAAACAAAATTTAAAGAGGAAATTAATGGAGGAGGAAGCCCAAAGAAATAAGGAATATCATATTGCACGTATGGAACGAGAAGCAGAAATCCATAAGTACAAAATAGAAATATAAGATTGCAAAATGCAAAATTGCAATTGGAGATAGAGTTGCTAAAAAAACAATTATAAAGGAAATAAAAGTTTAGTTATACTGTTAAAAACTTGTATTATTTATTCATATATTTCATTTCTAATTGTCAACATAAATATCTCTATAGAGAACTATGATTTGTGCGCCATAACATATACAGGGTTATCCAAATTAAGTGTCCACCATTAGTAACTTTGTTATTAGTGAAAATACAAAGTTGTTTGAATTAGCAAACTAGTAGCATTTTTAACGCTGGTAAAAATGAGAAATAAAAAAAAACAATTGAGAGTCGTTATTTTGATTTTTTTCAGTAAAATAACATTTTTTTAAATGGAAACCCCTGTATATTATATTTTTTTCTGTTAAAGCATCAAATTTTAAACAAAAAGCTTACAATAACTTTTCTCCTAGGTTACAAATTGTTGAAGTTATGGCCTCCAATCTGAAACAATTAAATTGTATCGACAAACTTTATTTTAACATCAACTTATAATCTTACAAAATACAATAACAATTTTTTTAAAGAAGATGCTCGAAAACACCACCTTGTTCTTCAATACATTTTTGGGCACGTTTTTCAACTGCTCGAACTGTATTAAGTATGGTCCTACCATCTATCTGGGTTATCTTTTCCCTAACTGCAGTCTTTAACGCGTCAAGGTTATCGTACCTTCGCTTGTAAATTTGGTTCTTTAAGTAACCCCACAAGAAGTAATCAAGTGGGTTTAGATCTGGTGATCTGGGAGGCCACTGTATTGGGCCATTTGTTCCTATCCACTGATCATTAAAAGTAGTACTTAGAAAATGATAAGTACCTCTGGAGTTGTGGGCAGGTGCGCCATCTTGCTGAAAATGCAGACGATGTCTACTTATAAGATCCAATTCGTCTAAGAAATTAGTCAGAATTTCTGACATAAATTCCACATATCTTTCACCAGTTAGGGTTCCCTCATAAAAGAACGGGCCAACAATTTTTGAACCAATTATACCGCACCAAACGTTGAAACTGAAACGGACTTGTGGGCCTCTTGGATGTACTAACAAAAGATTTTCTCTTGACCAATAATGGTGGTTTTTTCTATTAAACATTCCAGAATTTGAAAAATTTGATTCATCTGTCCATAAAAGGTAACGAAAGTTATTTACGTTTTGGCGACAGAAGCTAAGATACCAATGGCAAAAAACAAGTCTTCTCTCTGGATCCCCTGCCAAAAGCGTTTGAACTGGTCGGTACTTATACGGAATAAATTTGTATTTTTTTAAAATCCTTTGA